ATTTCAGAGAGGAAGGGAGAGGGAGAGAGAGAAAGAAATGATGAGAACCATTGATTGCCTGCCTCCTGCATGCCTCCTACTGGGGATCAAGCCCACATCCTGGGCATGTGCCCTGACCAGGAATCAAACTGTGACCTTCTGGTTCATAGGTTGATGCTCAACCACTGAGCAGCACTGGCCAGGTCCCAGCTTATCTTATAATTTATTGCACCGTCTACTTATGCCTTGGTTTTCCCCACAGAAAAACACTATCTATGAAAGAAACAGTTTTCCTTAGATATTAGATAGTGTTTTAAATCAGTGGTTCTCAACTTTCTGACTCTTTAAATACAGTTCCTCATGTTGTGATTCATGCGAGGTGGGCTTAAAATAAGCCATTCCTCCATTTTTCTCCACTGTGCATTGAAAAAGAATCTCGATGACCAAATACAGTTTTATATATTTGCATTAAAATGTACTGCTCATATTCTGTGTTGCATATGAACCCTGTGCAAAAAAAAATTATTTTTTTTCCAACACAATAGCTGTATTTAGTCTTGGTATTACCCAGTTCACTTGCCCAATAGTTAGTTACCTTTCTCCTCAATCCTTCCCAGCTTATTTCTTTTTTTGAGAATATATTTTTATTGATTTCAGAGAGGAAAGGAAAGGGGGAGAGAGGTAGAAATATCAATAATGAGAGAGAACCATTGATCGGCTGCCTCCTGCATGCCTCCTACTGGGGATCAAGCCCACATCCCGGGCATGTGCCCTGACCAGGAATCAAACTGTTGACCTCTTAGTTCCTGGGCTGACGCTCAACCACCGGCTGGGCTCTTTTCACATTCTTAAAAGGAATCAACATTTATTGCACCGTCTACTTATGCCTTGGTTTTCCCCACAGAAAAACACTATCTATGAAAGAAACAGTTTTCCTTAGATATTAGATAGTGTTTTAAATCAGTGGTTCTCAACTTTCTGACTCTTTAAATACAGTTCCTCATGTTGTGACCCAACCATAAAATTATTTTCGTTGCTACTTCATAACTGTAATGTTGCTATTGTTATGAATCATAATGTAAATATCTGATATGCAGGATGGTCTAAGGCGACCCGTGGGAAAGGGTCGTTCGACCGCCAAAGGGGTCGCGACCCACAGTTGAGAACTGCTGTTTTAAATGTTCTTTTTCTAAGATATTTTTTAATGTTTTATGTTTTTTAATGTAACTTTCTTCTTGGTACTTTCAATATGTTTACAAAGTTTCTTTCTCTTTTTTTTTTGGTTCAGCGTGACAAATGGTGGGAAGACAACACTGGCTAAAAATTTGCAAAAACATCTCCCAAACTGCAGTGTCATATCTCAGGATGATTTCTTTAAGGTATATTTAAAACTTCTTAGATAATTTATTTAACACAAAAGAAGTTCTAGTAGCAAAGTTGATTGTATTACATCCAAAAAGCCTTTGTTGAGTGACAGCTTTTGTAGTGAAGGTAGAGTCAATGCAGTAGTGTTACTTATCCACTAGATGGCACCACTATTGCGGCTGTTCTTTGATTTTATTTATCCTCATTCAATGCATTTATTAAAGATTTACCGCCTCTTCATTGTATAATTGTATTATTTCTGCATTGCACAGTTTTTATGGGTACTTTATTATTTTTTCAGCCACCGTCTGAGATAGAGACAGATAAAAATGGATTTCTGCAGTACGACGGTAAGTAGATGAGCTTGTGAAAATATTACACCCTAATGTTCATTTTCTTTTTCAAACCCACATATAGTGCTATCTATGAATACATTCTCAAAGTGTGTATAAATACATATTACTGTACTTTGAATGTGCTTTTGTAAAGGTTTCTGACTTACGTTCAGCTATTTTTATTTATATATACATACATATTTTTCTTGATTTCAGAGAGGAAGGGAGAGAGAGATAGAAACATCAGTGATAAGAGAAAATAATTGATCAGCTGCTTCCTGCATGCCCCCTACTGGGGATCGAGCACACAACGGGGTATGTGCCCTAACCAGGAATCAAACTGTGATCTTCTGGTTCATATGTAGATGTGCAACCACTGAGCCACACTGGCCCAGCTATTCAACTATTTTTAAAAATGAAATCTTTTCCCCAGTTTTATATTTAAAACTGAAAACATTGGAATGGTATAGATTTTTTTCTTCTGCAGCTAGGGCAAGGTGGGTACTCTAGTCATCCCTGCCTAGGGAATATAACTAACTACTTCCCTTCCCTACCCTCAGTCTTACCTGGGGCAAACTGAAAGCACTCATCTTCTGAGCTTTCCTTTCCAGTGACCACGGTGGTCTAGGCAGTTGATTTTTTTTCTTTTCATTGATCAAAAACCACAATGAGTATATTTTAGATGGATTCCCCTCACTCCTCTACCCAATCTAACACTGCTTTGAAGCCAAAGGATTAAAGTCCATGAGTAAAAGTTTATTTTCCTATCAAGAATGTCATGCTATACCCTAGCCCAGTGGTCAGCAAACTCATTAGTCAACAGAGCCAAATATCAACAGTAAAATGATTGAAATTTCTTTTGAGAGCCAAATTTTTTAAACTTAAACTATATAGGTAGGTACATTGTTATTAACTTAATTATGGTACTCCTAAGGCTTAGGAAGAGCCACACTCAAGGGGCCAAAGAGCCGCATGTGGCTCGTGAGTGCAGTTTGCTGACCACGGGCCTAAGACATTGAAAAATACTAGCTTCACATATATACAGACTAAGAAATGTAAGTAGACCTAGAGTGAAAACGTGTATCTTGAGGTAGGAGGGTTGCTGGCTGCGGTAAAGTCAAGAATTGAAGGAAAAGCGTGTTGTTATATGCTTTGAATAACTTTCAAGGAAGAGCATTATTACATGTTTTTATGGCTTTTAAGGAGAGTTAGGGGCATAGCAAATGAAATAAGTGACTCCATTATTAAATAGAAATATTATAAAAATCAGAAAAAAACAAGGAAGAGTAAATATTTGTTACTTTGACAAAGTAATCCACATGATAGTTTTTAGTTCACACATTTAAATAAAAAGCCAATGCTTTCTGATTACCAGTATACTGTCACTGAATTATTAATGTTTAGTATATAATAGACTACCTCAAACATGTCCAGCATCTAAAATAATTTTAAAGAT